GCAAGGTGTACAGGCTGATTTATCAGGTGATACATCTTTTTAATTTTTTTTCTTTGGCAATGCATTTCTATGAATGGAAGGAATTTGCCAAAATTTTCTATGAATGGAATTTGCCAAATGCAGATAAATGAGTGATGCCTCATTTGCATCTTAACAATGTATCAACATATTTATTTTATGTTTTTCGTGTCTAAAATCTTAAAACCTTTATGGAAATCAAAAGTTCAATTTGAAACACTATTTTTTTAAAAAGCACCCACAACTCCCAGAGGAACTTTTCTTTCCTTTCTTTTTCCCTGTGGGTGGATGTATCACTTGATACACTGTGGAACGCACAATCTGACAGGATCAGCTTTATGTTCTAAGAGGTCCAAACATCTTATCAGCCCCAATCATTCTCCCTTTTTGCCAATGGGAAATTTAATTTGCAACCTCTGAATGGGAAGTGCAATTTTATTCAATTTCATACAGCAATCAAAGGGGAAAAAAAATAAGATGCATATGTTATGTGGTGTTGTCCAAGCTAATTCAATGCCTGTTGTTTTTCAACCAAGCATTAATTCCTTTTTGTGGACGATGAAGGTACAGTTTGATTTAGACATAGCTGCCTATTGTATCCTGGACATGAAATTCCATCTCCTTGGATGCCTTTACATCTCCACCATTTGCTCGGGCTACGATAATAAAAAAAAACTGGGAGGGGCATTTCAACAAGAGAATGTATCTTAGAAATCCAAGGTGGAGGTGTCAGCAGGTGCATGCACTCTCTGAAGGTACAGGGGAATTGCTACTTGCACCAGGCCTCACGCCAGCTTCTGGCAGGTCCTTGATTTTTGTGCCATCTCCACAGAGTTCATGGGTCCAAACTTCTTGTTTATATACAGACATCAATCATGGTGTACTAAGGGCCCATCCTACTTCAATAGAAACTCCTCTTAACTAATTATGTCTACAAATGGCTCTGTGTTTCCAAACACGGATTCTGAGGTACTGGAAATTAAGAATTCATCCCAAGAATCTTATAGGCAACCTAATTCAACTCATACCAATGTTGAATCCCCAATTCTTTTCTGCATACTGCAGAGTATGTTTATTTGGATTATAGTTCTCTTTTACTCAATGTTATAGGTCTTTCCCTCTGTCTATAATACGTAATTATATTATATATAATAATACATGTGACACAGATTTCCACATACAAGAATGACTACATTTTATCAGTGATTCTGGTATGGGTATCAAAATTGGCCTCATTTTCACTACACAAACTCTTAGAAAATAGAGTCATTAAAGAAAATTCAGTCTTATAGATTAAACTATCACTACCCCAATGCAAATCACAACAGTGTATGTAGCCCAATGGCCAACGCCAAAGAGGGATTATTGCTGCTCACATCCGCAACACATGTCAATTGTATCAGAATGATACAATGGATAATCTGTTCTTATAAAATGCAAATCACAGTTGCCATGATATTCCCACATTGTGGGAAACATTTCCTGTGATGCAGGATTTTCACAGGTAAATGATTAATCAGGTCTTCCTTGGGTAGGAAACTTATTTTTGTTTTGTTAAGATTTTCTTTCAATATATAATAGAAGTGACATTTGCAGCTAGGAAACAAAGGGATGAAAACAGAGCAGTCTGACCCCTCTGATTTATACAGCGTAAAGAAGCACTTGAAAAATAACAGGAAAAATTGCTACTCACATTCCAAGTCCATGCATATTTCATGTGCATTCTTAATAAAAAACTGTGGTGAGTTTTTAAAAGCATAGATGAGGCAGGCGGATCTCTCTGAGTTCAAGGCCAGCCTGGTCTACATAGTGAGTTCCAGGACAGCTGGGGCTACAGGGAGTCCCTGTCTCAAAAAGACCAAAAAAAAGACTATAGATGTGTTTATCCAAA